CACAATGCCATCATTAAAACTCAAGGCTCTACTCTCAAAAACTAAAATTCTGCTATAGGAACTTAGAGGCTTTACTCTAGAAAACATTCATTCCATGACTGGAACGAGCTCTGAAGTTTCAGAGTTGAGATTGAGCGTAGTCATAAACTCTTGGGATTGTAATTATAGATTAAATTGAGCTCTTCTAATTTCACAAATGAATAATTTTCAGGGTTCCAGTTTCTATTATGTGATTTTCTCATTCTTTCATGGATCATACAAATTACATCATCAAAACCCAAAGATGCTGCTACTGAGTTATCCTTTGTTTTTATGGTAATTACATGTTTCACTTGATCAGTCCGGTGTTTGCTAATGGAATCCAAGAGTTAAGAAGCACTCACCACGGTGGTTAAAAGCCTGTGCTATGGAACCAGACTGCTTATAGTTGGGTCCCATTTCTGTGCTTCTCACACGTGTGACCTTTGAGAAGTCTCCTCGTCTGTAAAATAGGGCTGACGGTGGAATTTACCTGCGGTAGTCATAATAACAGTGCAAGGGAAGCACTTCAAGTGATGTCTGGCACACAGAAAGCAAATGTTAGGTGTGGACATAATTACTATACTTTAACACCCACCACCCCAGTCCTGCAGCCTGAAACTGCAGGGCTCCTTTTTACTTTTTGAGACAGCGTTGCCCAGGCTGGCCTTGAACCTGTGATTCTTCTGAGTACCGCAGATTACAGATCTGTGCCATTAAGCCTGACTAGCATCATTACATTTTTGTCTTGTTTTGTTTTGTTGAGCAGGGTTTCCCTGTGCAGCTCCGGCTGTCATAGAACTCACTCTGTAGACCAGGCTGACCTCTAACTAAAGAGATCTGCTTGCTTCTGCCTCCCCAGTGCTGGGATTAAAGGCACGAGCCACCACCACCCAACCTTGTCTTGAATTATCTTTGTAGCCAAAGCTAGGCTTGAACTTTGATCCTCCAACCTCAGCCCCCCCCCCCCAGTGAAGGAATTACAGGTGTGCATCACCATTATCTGGTCTGCATTATTGCTTCTGGGTGTGGCAATGTTTAATATTAGTCTAATCATGTATTAATATGCATAACTGACTATTGTGTCTCAAGAATCCACTATGACAACTCAAGTGTCCTTTCTGGAACTCAAAGCTGTGTTCTCTGAATCCCATAGTTGGTACTTGTATCTCAGGTTAAACATTTAAACTGTAATATTGCGTTTTTAGAACTGAGGTTCGTCTCAAAAGGCAGGATTCTAGTAAGAACATTCTAAGTCTAGTCTTATAACTTCAAATTCTACTCCAGGTTCTTCTGTGACACTGAAAGTCTCCTGTCAGATTCCCAGGTTTTGCTCTCATAACCTGAAATTCTATTGAGATGAGAAGTCCAGGTTCCAAACTTAGAGCCTGAGATTCTGTTATGGAACTCTAAAGTCTCCCATTGCCCTCAGCTTTAACTCGCTGAGTTAGTTTCCTCCCATTAGTGTTCAGCTGCTGTCTGAATCCACAGTTCTAATGTTAGGAGTATAGTGCTATTCTTTGTATTCAAATCCTATGGTCAGTTCTACAACCAGAACCAGAAACTTTACTTCAGACATGCCAATAATGGCAAACCAGGATTCTATATTTGGAACACTCCATTCTAATCTGAGCTGCAGATCCTCTGCTGTTGAGACAGGATCTGACTGTGTTTCCCAGGCTGGTCTTGAATTTCCCACACTCACGTGATCATCTTGCCTCAGCCTCTCAACTGCTGGGGTTATAGGTGTGTGCCACCAAACCTGGCATCAAAGTCTGAGACTCATCTCTATCTATATTTTGAGACAGGGTCTTTCTACACAGCCCTGGCTGTCCTAGAACTCACTATGTAATCTAGGCTGGCCTTGAACTCACAGAGTTCTGCCTGCCCCCGTGGAATTAAAGGTGTGCACCTCCAGAAACCTGGTTCTAAAGTCTGAGATTCTAATATTGAACTTCAGTTACCAAATTTGGAATTGTAGATATTATAATTTCATTCTTTTTTTTTGGATTCTTATACGTATGTAACTCTCAATTTTTTTTTATCTCCTAGCTACTGGCTAGGAGTTTCTTGAGGCTATCCCAAGCATAATGTTTTATATGCTCTCATAAACTGTATGCTCGAATTCCTGGAAAAACAATCTCCACGGAGCCCCTTGGCAATGGCTGAAGTCACAGGGAAGCAGGCTGTTCCTAAGGAACTTCCTACAGTTCTTTTTTCACTGATATCTTTGTAGATCTTCTCTCTGTGCCCATCAAGCCTATAAGGTCAAGTGGCTTCAAGAATAGACACTTGCATTAAAGGTGGCGCACACCTTTAATCCCAGCACTTGGGAGGCAGAGGCAGGTGGATCTCTGGGAGTTCGAGGTCAGCCTAGTCTACAGAATGAGTTTCAGGATAGTCAGGGCTGTTACACAAAGAGACCCTGTCTCAAAAAAGCAACAACAACAACAACAAAAGAATATACACTTGGGGTGGGGTGGTGCTGTAGCTCTGTTGTTTGAGTGCTTTTCGTATGACTGGAGCCCCGAGTTCCATCCCTAGCACCATGAAGAATTGTGTGTAGTGGCACATACCTGTCTGTAATCCCGGCACTAGAGAACTGGAGGAGGAGGAGGAGGAGGAGGAGGAGGACGAGGAGGAGGAGGAGGACGAGGAGGATGAGGATGATCAGGAGTTCAAGGTCATCCTTGGCTACGTAGGGTCGGGTGAGACCCTGTCTGAAAATACCAAAAATAAACAAGAACATATCACCGGGCATGGTAGTGCACACCTTTGGTCCTAACACTCAGGAGGCAAAGGCAGGTGGATCTCTGTGACTCTGAGGCCAGCCTGGTCTACATAGAAAGTTCCAGGGCCAGTCAGGGCTGCACAGTAAGACCTTTTCTCAAATATTTGAGGCTTGTTATGACAGTCCACATTTGTAACCCCAGCAACAAAAAAGCAAGAGGAATGAGGATTGCAAGTTATAAGCAAACCTGGGCTAAGTGCTAAGCCACTGTCCCAAAACCCACACTTCCAAAATAACACATTTGGAACTTTTTGCACTGAAGTAAAGCAAATTAAGATATTTCATATATCTCTTCTGAAATATTTAAGAATAGAAGGCTTTAAAGAATTGAAGTCCTGGGGCTGGAGAGATGGCTCAGTGATTAAGAGCACTGACTGCTCTTCCAGAGGACCCGGGTTCAATTCCCAGCACCCACATGACAGTTTACAACTGTCTGTAACTCTGGCTCCTTCATACCAGTACATATAAAATTAAGTTAAATCAAATATTTAAAAAAAATGAGCTGGGCAGTGGTGGTGCACGCCTTTAATTCCAGCATTCTGGAGGCAGAGGCAGGTGGATCTCTGTGAGTTCGAGCCCAGCCTGGTCTACAGAGCTAGTTCCAGGACAGGCTCCAAAGCTACAGAGAAAACCTGTCTTGAAAAAAAAACCAAAACCAACCAAACAAACAAAAATGAATTGAAGTACCTAATGCTATAGCTTACACATTTGCAAAGGATGAACTAATTTAAAGGAAAATTCAAGGCCTTTCTGTTGAACTCGTGAAATCAACTCACCTCATCTGTTCTGAAAAGATTCTTGAGTTTGAAAAAGTCTCCTATTACAATGCCAGGCGGTTGTGGCACACGCCTTGAAATCCAGCACCTGGGAGGCAGAAGCAGGTGGATCTCTGTGAGTTTGAGGCCAGCCTGGTCTACAGAGTTCCAAGACAGTCGGAGAAACCCTGTCTTGAAAAAAAAAAAAAAAAAAGAGAGAGAGAGAGAGAGAGAGAGAGAGAGAGAGAGAGAGAGAGAGAGAGAGAGAGAGAGAGAGAGTGTCTCCTCTTTCCCTTTATTTGTAAAGTGTGGATAAGAATGCTTGTGGATAATACAGGGGCGGCTGTGAGCATGACCGCTGCGCCACCTATTGGACAGGACTTGAATTACACTGCTATTTGTTTACTGTGTCTGCACAACAATCCCAAGGTTTCTCTAGGGACAATAGAGGAGTCTGTGATTGGTTTCATGGAAGTTATTTAGGAGAAGAGAGTATGAACATTATCTAGTAAGCATTAACTAAGTGGAGAGGAGCAGGGGGACAAGAGAAGTCTTCACACCCGCCCTTGAGAGGGTGAAGGTCATGCGGTGTTACAGAACCTCACTGGACAGATCCTGAGGAAGGAAGATACATTTAAGGGGGAAAAAGAACGCTTGAGACAGAACATAACAATGTGCTCAAAAGCACAGCCAAAGTGCCTTTGAGATCAGTAAGCTGCTGTGTAATCAGATCTTTGCATCCAAGGAAGAGGAGGTGATGACAGTGACTAATAGCCAATTTTTACAGAGCTTCAGGGTGTGCAAAGTCCGTTTAGACATCTGACCTATGGGGAGCTTGACAGCACAATGCTAACACCGAGGGCTGAGCTAAATCCGGCTCTAGATCTGTTGTGTTTGATAACTGTTGCATTCGACAGCTATTTAACTTCTCTCTGTTTAATTTTTTTTTTTCCTAAAACAAAGCCTATTTGGGGCTGGAGAGATAGCTCAGCAGTTAAGAGCACTGACTTCTCTTTCAGAAGACCCGGGTTCAATATCCAGCACCCACATGGTAGTTCATAACTGTCTGTAACTCCAGTTCTAGGGGATCGAACACACTCACACAGGCATACATGCAGGCAAAACACCAATGCACATAAAATAAAAATAAATACATTTAAAAAAATAAAGTAAAACCTACTTCACAGGGCTCTTGTCAGGATTAAATGTCCGTCAAGTGTCAAGTTCTTACATACTAACCAGCAGTTAATAACGGCAGTCACCAGTAGCTATCATAAGCTATTATGTTATTTATGATGTAGAAATACTAGTGTCACAGAGGAAGAAATCAGGTGAGCAGCTGAAGTGGGACACTAAATTCTATATGTTTTTAAAAGCTGCACCAAAGACTTCAGATTGCAAAGTAGGCTGGGTACTGAGAGTTAAGAACCCTCAATTACAGCCTTATATTTGGGTTTCATACACTGCAGGTTTTGGGAAGCTACTGAAGATCCTTCAGCTGGACAGACTTTAGAATCAGAGTTCTACTTCTGAGAGAATTTAGAACCTGCTCAGTGAATTCACACAGCTCACAATCAGTGAGTATAATTATAAGGATGATATAGATGTGTTGAACACTTACCTATGAAGTGTTGTGGAATATTAGTTAAACTATATAAAGATGTGTTACATTTATGTTGCAGAATATTACTTTAACTATGTTAAGCTGTGCTGCATTTGTTTAACTATGTAAAGATCTGTTACATTTGTTTCCCCTTACCTGCCTAAGGCACCCGATTGGTCTAATAAAGAGCTGCATGGCAAACAAAGAAAGAAAGAAAGAAAAGAAAAAGAAAAACTCTCCTCTTTCCCTTATGTGGATAAGAATGCTTGTGGATAATACAGGGGCAGCTGTGAGCACGACCGCTGTACCACCTTTTGGACATGCTAGGCAACAGAGGAATAGGAGGGGCTGGTGCAGGGGCTGGTGGGCCATGAGGATTAGTAGGAAGAATGAGAGAAAAAGAGCAGGAAAAGCCAGGGGACAGTCAGCCAGGCAACTGCCAGCCAAACAGACATGAAGAAAGCAGGAAAGGACATACAGAATGAAAGAAAGGTAAAAAGCACCAAGGCAAAAATGTAGATGACTAGAAATAGGTTAAAGATAAGTTATAATAAGAGCTAGCAGAACAAGCCTAAACTAAGGCCCAGCATTCATAACTAATAAGTCTTCCTGTCATAATTTGGGGGCTGGCAGTCCAAGAAAGCCTGCTACACTGAAGCATGTGGAAAGATTTTTACATTCCATATTGGTTTTGAGAAAAACTGTGGGGCTGGTGAAATTGTTCAGTGGGTAAAACTGCTTGTTGCCCAAGTCTCATGATCTGAGTTCAGTGCCAGAGCCCATGATGGATGGACAGAACTGAATCCTGAAGTGGTACCCTGACCTCTACACAAGCTTTGTGGCACACATACATCACACACAATACATCACACACGCACGTACACACACACACACACACACGAAACTCTTGGACAAATCTCATCATTTAAGATATTTGTAACAAGATGGCCCTTAATATTTTATTTCTAACGTTTTAAGTAGAAAGGTTTACAAACTTTTTTTCCACAAGTACTTTTCGAGCATCACATCCAATTTTCAGTGTTCGGGATCTGAGTGTGTGGGGACACAAAGTTGGTGAAGTGATGGACTGAGTGCTTGCTCCTTCATCAACACCTCCCTTCCTCCCCATGGGTGGAGAAGATATTTTAGGACAGGAAGGTGCCTCTCTAAAATTATACTCAGATAGTGGCCTGTGAAAAGCAAGGGCGGGCTCTGGGGTTCTTCCCCTGAATACAAGGAAGGAAATGATTCTGAGTCCTGGGCACCTCTGGTCATCAGCTGAGACTCTGAGGAGGGGGCTGACATTGGGATGGGCAGTAAGAGCTCCGTAGTTACCACATGCCACCTGATGAACTCTATCTCACCAGGCAGCCAGGAGTTCTGGTGAATACGCTCCGTGCCAGGGACCTGGAATTGTGCAACTAATAGTCTGATTCCATGCAATCATACATAGTAAGCCCTTCAGAAGTTACGCCACTCTCCGTATCCAACAGATAAAGAAACAGGCCTATGGCAGAGCAAAGATTTGTTTTGGGGGTCATATAGCAGCAAATGGCAATATTTGGGGCCTATGCCTTACTTGAATTTGGCTCTTTTTAATCCATGCCATGGTAAAAGTGATGGACAGAAAAATCTTTTCCCAAAGTATAGAGAGCACATAGCAGAGAAGGTCACAGAGGTCTAGGAATAGGAGCTTCAAATCCTGGGGACAGCTCTAGCCAGCTTCTCAGATGTATGCTGGCTACCTTAGGGGACTTATACCTTCTTTATGTAAATGATATAGACCTTGTGTTTCTGCAAGAGACCACCCAGGAGCAGAAATGAGATCTGTTTCCTCACCCAGTTTGTTGGATACAGAAAAAGGACTTTTGGGTCCATCAGACGACACAGCTATGGGAACCAATGGCTGGGCGTTTAAAGACCTGGTGTAGCCCCCATTCTGTCTCTGTCATGTATGTGTCTCTGGCAGCCCCCAGACGCTTTGGAATTTAGATTTTGTTTCCTTATCTGTGACATGAGACATTTGTGTCCAGTTATCTGGATTTCTGAGTTAGAATCCAGAACAGGTAACTTGATGGTGTGCTAGGTCAAGTACAGTTTTCTACCAGACTCATCTCTAAGCACAGATGTTCCCTATCTGGACTGACTCTGTCATCTGTGGTAGACAGGATTTCATACGGAGTTTTCCATGTACATCACCATGATACCTACTCCAGGTTTTGAATATGAATCTTTCTACAATTATTTGAAGGAGGAGAAAATATAAAATATGGTCATTAAGTCTCTCAGTTTCAGCTTCCTCATCTAAAAAGTCTGGAAAATAACGACATTTCTTGGTTGTGAGTTTAAATAAGAAACTTTATAATACCCAGGATAATATCTGGTATAGATTTCAATTTCCCACTTCCAGGTCTCCCTTTTCACTGACACTGCTTTGGGCCTAGTCTAGGTTTCCATCTCACCTGGGCTTCTGAAAAGAAAACAAAAACAAAAAACCTCTTGTTCCCATGTCTCCAATCTTGCCTCTGCAATTTAATTCCTCTCAATAGCCAGAGTGATATTTTGTATATAAATTAGTTCATACGTCTCCCTTGGTTGAAAGCTCTTCACGATTTCTCACTGAGAGAAAATCTCAAATCCCTCCCGATGGGCACAGATCCTTCCGGCCTGACCCCTACCTGCCTCTCTATGGCTTTATCGCTTGCCATTTTCTCTGCTCAAGCACACACTGTTCTCTGCCTCATTATGACTTGGATTCTGGTCTCAACTTACATATCACTTCCTCAAAAAGGCTTCCCTGGACTCTCCTGAGTAATTTTCTCTCAAAGATCTCCCAGTCCTCATTATTGCCTCTCCTAATATTCCAGGATTTGCACAATTTACACTTAATCATTTATATGCACTGCTACCACCCCCACACAAATATAAGCACTTTTAAGCACAGCAATCAAATCTATTTTACGTCCCTCTTACTCTGTACCCAGTACAATCTGAAGGTGTGGTTCTCAGGGAATAGTTATTAACAGTTGAGCAGTGGACACTCAGTTTACTTTCCTTTCTTTCTCAAAAATATTGTTTCATGTGTCCGGGGCTCTTCACTTACTTCAGAGCTATGGGTGTGACACTGGGAACTGAGATCCGGGCTTTAACCCAGGATCTTGAACAGGTCTGCTTTGTGATGCAGGACAACTTCCTCAGGTTTTTTTGAACTTTGGTTTCTTATTCATTTAATGTGGAGTTTTAACATCTACTTCAAAAACACGGTATGAAGGTACAATGAAAGTGAATGGGAAGCACTTTTATCGCAAATAACTATAATAATTCTGAGTACTTCTAGTTCTAGGGTATAACACTTCTTTTTCACAGAAGACAACAAGCTTTTGGGTTAGCATACCTGGATTCAAGCCCTAAAATAGGTTCCATATCTCTGAACCTCATTTTCCTTACCAATGAATAGATTTACTATTTCCTTCCTACTCACCACACAAGGCCATTAGGGGGCTTACACAGCTTGCACGAACAAGGTCCTGTAAGCTGGAAAGGGCTTTATGTAAAAGTAAAGGCCTATTTTTATGAATCCCTGGCTCACCTCCCGAGGAGACTCTGGGTAAATAAGGTTGAATTAATGTTCCCAGTGACTAGAGCCAAGGAGAGTGCTTTGGCCTGGAAGCCAAGTTCAGACCTGGCTCCCATGGGGCCAAGTCTCTGTTTAATTCCCAGTTAAAGACTACACCTCAGGGAGTTGAGTAAAAGAGAGGGGAGAAAAGTCCCCAAACAAGACATGGCTTATTTGCCTGCTCTACTGTCTGCTCATATAGAGGACTTGGCAGGTCTTTGTCTAGGCCTAATCCTCTCGGTTCTTCCTCCCAGGCCAGGTATACAGACTTACTAGAAGTCCTGAGAGAAGGGCATTTTATCATCTGAACTGGTAACAACTAGCTTCACGCCTCTTCACTGCCTGTCCTTACTCCGGAATGGCATGGAAAACAGACTTTCCTGGATATCCAGGGAGGCAGTGTTAAAGTGCACAGGAACAGCACATGATCTGATATGGCCATCCATCCATTTGCTTGTGACTAGGACAAGTTCTAAGCATCAAGCTGAGACTATGTAAGATGATAAGAGATGTTAGATACTAGGATCTTTGGTACCATTTCCAGCTAGTGGTATGCTGCTGGTAAATGTTTAACTACCAGCTCTCCTAGTATAGTTTTGACGAGAATGTTGGTCAATACTTTAGTATAAGGAACATAAAAATGAAATAACAAAGGCGTCTATTGAAATCTTGATTGACCTATGAATGGCGCAAATGGTTTGTTGAAAATGATTGTTTTCAAATACTGTAAAACTATTTACTTGATTGTGTGTATTGTGCATGTGTGTGTGTGCACACGTGTGTACACATGTGCATGTGTATGATGTATGTGCTGAGTATGGGTGCACGTCTACCAAGGTTTGGGAATGTGGAGGCCAGACAGAACAATGTAAGGAGTCAGTCCTTGCCTTGCCCCTTGAGTCCAGACAGGTCTCTCTTGCTGTGCACTGCTGTGGAAAGGCTAGCTGGCTCCCAGCTTCTGGTGGTTCTGTCTCTGTATCTCATCCTCCTGAAGCCGGCACTGGAATCACAGATGGTTGAGTTTACATGGGATGCAGGGCATCAGGCTTGTGACAAGTGCTTTTCCCACTAAACCTTCTTTTTGTATGTGATTTTCATAATATAACAGTAGTAGACATAAAATAATTAAAATTTACTCTATCATTTAATCTTAAGTCTAGATTAGATGATTAATAAAATAGGCCTGATATGAGTCTCTGGGTTCAATCCCTGCCCTTAGGGGAAAAAGACAAAAGAAATGTAAACTTTGGAGTTGCTAGTGACAGAAATCAGGAGCAACGACGGTTAAGGTTAAAGGGATGGAAAAGGCAAGAGAATGTAATTAGTCTTCATTGAAGGCCTCTGTGTGCCTCAAACTTCTAGATAATCTTTACATCTTGAACCATACTAATGAGAAAATAAATTGAACTCAGAATAAGTAACTCCCTTCCTTCAAGCAGCCTGGCACTGCTATCTGAATTCAGATCTGTTCACTCTAAAGTGCTGGACTGCGCTGCACACTGTACCACCCACAACGCTGTGTTGCTATCTCTTTACGTGTGTGTGGTGTAGAATAGGCTGGTGGGTTAAGGGAGTCCTGACGGAACTGGATATGCAGACATAAAGCTCAGAGACCCAGTAACAACCTCTTCCACTCACCAAGCTTTCTTTACATCATTAGAACGTCTATTTCCAGTCTCTATCCCCAAGATCTTTCCACTGTACCACACATGCCATACTGCTTCATACACAAGACACATCATAAACACCCCAGTATCAGGTGCATCTCAGTGCTTTCACGCTGGAACCAGAGGATGGCAGTGTTGAGTCACAACAGGCACAATGCTAATAATAGGAATTATGCCTGTGGAAATATTCTCATGTTATTAGTTGCTCTCTTCAGACATGGAAGAGAGCACATTACTCACACTGTAAGTGGTCCCCATGGGCTGCCCATCCCTAGTGGTTGGTCCACATTCCCACTCTGAGTGTGGAAGGAGGTGTGGCAGTGCTGAGCAACACAGAGATTTGTCGTCAGACAGACTTGGGTTGGAATCTCAGCTCTGGGTTTCCAGTCATCTTGGACACACAGTGTCACCTCTGAGAATTTGTTTCTTAATTTGTGGGTATGTTGAAACAGCACACTTCATCATCCTTCTCTCCAAGCCTGCTCCTCCTCCTCTGTTCTGTGTCTGAAACAAACTCACTAAGTTTCCCAAGCTAGAAACTCAAGTGTAAACCTTGACTTCTCTTCTTCACTCAGTTCCCTTTTTCCCCACATGCCAACCTAACCATGAGTTCGATGGTACTTCCTCTTGAAACTTCTATTCTGTTCTGGCTCTACTCTAATTTGCCTGGATTATTGTTGGCATTTGTTTTAAAGTAAGAAAAACTTTATACAAGATAGTTGGATTCTTATTTTTGCTTCTGGACTTAGAAACTGATTCTTTGACATGCTTTTTTTGTTTGTTTATTTGTTTTGTTTTTCAAAATAGGGTTTCTCTGTGCAGCCCTGGATGTCCTGGAACTTGCTTTGTAGACAAGGCTGGCTTCAAATTCAGAGATCTGCCAGCCTCTACTGGAATTAAAGGAGAAGCTGCCACCACCACCCAGCCATTGACATGTTTAATCCCCAGAAACTAGGTAAAGAACCAGATGCAGTGGTACACATCTGTAATTAAGCATTCCTACAGAGGATAAGAGGTGGAAACAGAATTGTCCAGAAGCTTCCAGGACAGCTAGCATGGAGTATATGGTGTAGCAGGAGAAACAATAAAAAAGACCCTGACTCAACAAGGTCCCAGGTGAGAACCAACTCTTAAAAATCATCCTCTAACCTCTACACAAACACACACCATGGCACACATGTACAATAATAACACACCCAACCCAAGAAGTTAATTAATTAGAATGATGTCCAAGTCAAAGTGAGGTGTGAGTTTATTTTCTAGTCTTGCTCACTGAAAGACCCTACAAGCAATGGCATCATCATAGAGGCAGTGAGGAATGATACTTAGCACTTAGATCTGTTGTTTAGCCAGGCTGACCTTAAAGTTACTACCTTCCTACCTCAGACCCACAAGAACTTGTAGTTGTGTGCCACCATGTCTAGCCCCAGCATTTCTTTTTTTTTTTTAACATTTATTTATTTATTATGTATACAATACTCTGTGTGCATGCCTGAAGGCCAGAAGAGGGCGCCAGACCTCTTTACAGATGGTTGTGAGCCACCATGTGGTTGCTGGGAATTGAACTCAGGACCTTTGGAAGAGCAGGCAATGCTCTTAACCTCTGAGCCATCTCTCCAGCTCCCAGCATTTCTTTTTTAAAAAGCATTCTCCACTAAATGGAACTAGAGTTTTTAGGAAAACCAAATTCTTCCCGCACAAAGGCTAGCACAAAGTGAGCCTGATACACAGTGACGGAAAGCCAGGGAAGGAAGTCTAACACATGAAGAAACGCTGAAGGAACAACAAAGCCAGTCAGGCTGGAAAATGCTGTTGTATCAACGTGGATAGTGGTGGTATTGACTGCAAGCATAAGATACTATGCACAGCGAAAAACAGAAGTCAAAGGGGTTAAAGCTGATAAAGCAACAAATAAAAGATAATGAAGAGGCTTTCTTATATTGCAGGAAGAAAAAATGATAAGGAATAATGATGGAATTAGACAATTATTTGGTGATCTCTATAGTAATACCTGTTTCAAATAAGCATCATCAATTAATGTTAAAATTTGTGGGTATTCTCAAATGATCTTCCCAAAAGACATGCGTTAAGCACAGAGCTAAAATAGTCACTTTACCAATAGTCCCAGCTACTGGTGGGGAGAGGAGCAGAGGGTTACTTGAGTCCATGAGTTTAAGACAGTCCTAAGCACATGCATAAACCTCCATCTCAATCAAAAACAAAAACCAAAGGAAAAAAGACACAAGATAGAAAGCTATTTTTATGTAGAGAAATCCGGTAGAGGCCACTTTGAACAAGTGAACTAAGTTGCTGTTGCCATGGGGATACACAGCCATCACACACCTGAGTGAGTCACTGAGACAGTATACCAGCTCTGCAGTATTCCTGCAGACATGCATAACCTTGAATTCAGTTATGAAGAAACATCAAAACTCAAATTAAAACAAAAGCTTACAAAATAAACACATTTTTCAAAACTATCAAGTCACAAAAGACAAGACTAAGAAACTGTTCCAGTTTAAAGAAAAAAAGAAACTTTAAAAATATTTTTTTTTTTTTTTTTGGTTTTTGAGACAGGGTTTCTCTGTGGTTTTGGAGCCTGTCCTGGAACTAGCTCTTGTAGACTGGTCTACAAGACTCACAGAGATCCTCCTGCCTCTGCCTCCCGAGTGCTGGGATTAAAGGCGTGCACCACCACCGAAAGATTCATTTTTATTAAAATCTTTAAAATATTTCTATTTCTCTCTGTTGTGTGCGTGCGTGTGTATGTGTATGGCTCATGTATACAAGGTGCTGAGGAGGCCAGAAGAGGATGTTGGGTCCCTGAGAGTTAAGAGTTACAGGTGGTTTTGAGGTTAGTTGCTGGGAATCGACTTTGGTTCTTCTGGAAGAACAGCAAACATGCAACCACTGAGTCATCTGTCCAGGCCCCCAATAACTACTTATAATGTGTGATTCCATATTGTAGTCTAGACCAGAATAAAAGAAGTTCACTTTCCTTCTTCTTTTTCTTTGGTGGGGGGTGGGAAGGGGATAAGGTCTCACAACATAGCCCTAGCTGGCCCGTAACTCACTATGTAGACTAGGCTAGCCTAGCCTCAAATTCACATAGATCTACCTGCTTCTGCCTCCCAAGAGCTGGGATTAAAGGCATGAATCACCATGCCCAACAATTATTTTCTTTTTCTATGAAGGATATTAGTAGACATGACAAAATTTGAATAAATTCAAAGATTAGATCATAATACTATACTAATGTAATGTTTCTAATCTTTGCAATTATACTATATCTGTACTGTTGTGAGGAAATACACTAAAATATTTAAGAACAAAGGATTAGAAAATAATTATTTGCTAGGCAGTGGTGATGCATGACTTTAATCCCAGCACTCGGGAGGCAGAGGCAGGTGGATCTCAGTGAGTTCGAGGCCAAACTGGTCTACAAAGCCAGGGCTGTTACACAGACAAACCCTGTCTTGAAAAACTAATAATAGTAACAAGTTATCTGGGGTGCCCAGCCTCACTGATATATCTATAACACAACTCCTGTACCTAAGGCTCAGGGAACATCACAGAAGAAAGGAACAGAATGACTGCCAGAGGCAGAGGACCAGGGAAGTTGCTGTGAGATTGTTTCCTAGAAATGATAGGGAAGCTTCACCTCAACAATATGGTTGCCTAAACAAGACCCGCAGAAACACACTAATAAACATGCTAATGTCGAAAGGGGAAATCTCCCAGGGCCCCATCCACATACAAAGAACAACAGGCAACTAAGGGATGCTAAGAGTGGGAGAAACGGTCTTCCCCAGGGATGGGTCTCCTAGCTGGTTATTCAGACCCAAGTGGCCAGTCCTAACATCATATACACATAAGTAACACTAGCGGACTGAGCAGTTTATTCCTACATATGTTTATGTATATGTAACAATAACAACTAAAGAAAAAGAGGTCATGATTTGAGGGGAGGGGTTTGTAGACAGGGTTTCTCTGTGTAGCTCTGACTGTCCTGATACTCTGTAGACCAGGCTGGACTCGAACTCACAGACATCTACCTGCCTTTGCCTCTAGAGTGCTGGGATTAGAGGTGTGCACCACCACTGCCTGGCATAATTATAATTTAAAAAATAAAAAATTAAAAGCAATATATGTCATATATACATCTACATATGTATCTATTATATATAATAGATGTACATATTATATGTATATATATATACATCTATCTCTTATTGAGATAGAAAAAAAAGAAAATAAGAGTATGCTAAAGCAAATGTGGATACGGGTGACAAATACATGAGATTTGGGGGTACTATTTTTTTTTGCAATCATTTAAATCTGAAATTATTCCAAATTATAAAGTAAGAAATTTCCACAAGCATATAACATTTTAATTATTCCTTTCTAAATATATGTACATTGGTGCTGTTGAGATGGCTCAGTAGTTAAGAGTTTGTAATGATCTTGCAGAGGATGTGATTTGGTTCCCAGCACAAATGGCATTGACTCACAACCACTTCCCCAACAGATCTGAAACCTCTGACCTAGGAGGGCACCTGCAATCCCGTGTATAGGCACACACATTGACACACTTATTAGAAATAATAAAATCAGTCTTCAACTGCACTTGATTTATGCAAATATGAAAAACAATTGGGCCGGCATGGTGGCAGCTCGTGCCTTTAATCCCAGCATTTGGGAGACAGAGACAGGCGAATCTCCGTGAGTTCGAGGCTAGCCTGGTCTACAAGAGCTAGATCCAGGACAGGCACCAAAAACTATAGAGAAACCCTGTCTCGAAAAGAAAAAAAAAAAAAAAGAAAAAAGAAAAACAACTAGAACCATACAACATTCTTTTTTACTTTATACTTTTATTACTTTGGTACAGAATCATGAGCAGTTTTCAATATCATCTAAAACAATTTGAAGGCAATTACTGGAGGTTGGAGAGATGCTCACTGCTCTTGCAGAGGGCCAGGGTTTAGTTCCCAGCATCTACCTGAGGTTCTTTTTTTTTTTAATATTTATTTATTTATTATGTATACAATATTCTGTCTGTGTGTATGTGTACAGGCCAGAAGAGGGCACCAGACCTCATTACAGATGGTTGTGAGCCATCATGTGGTTGCTGGGAATTGAACTCAGGACCTTTGGAAGAGCAGGCAATGCTCCTAACCACTGAGCCATCTCTCCAGCCCCTACCTGAGGTTCTTAACAGCCATCTGTAAATCCAGGTACAGGTGATTTGATGCTCTCTGGCCTTCTTGGAAACCTGTATGCATGTGGTGCACATAAACCCACACAGGCACACACATATGTATTAAAAAAAAAAAAGATTAATGGCTAGGAGATGGTGGCGCACACCTTTAATCCCAGAACTCAGAAGGTAGAGGCAGGCAGATTTCTGTGAGTTTGAAGCCAGCCTGGTCTACAGAGTGAGTTCCTGGACAGACTCCAAAGCTACTGAGAAACTTGAAAACAAAAACCAAACAAACAAAAAGATTAATGGATACACAATATTTTTGTGGAGATAATATAATTTACTTAATTCATTTTAAGTTATCCTCATATTTTTGTGCCAACAACATTTTATATCTCTCACATATAAATAATATTTTTATATTGTTTTATTATATAATACAACATACCTTATATATGTATTATATATATTTATCTATACATATGGTTGCTTCTTTGAATGATTGCACTTGTGCGGAGGTTAGACCCTGTGCAGATCAAGGAATAACTTGGAGGACTCAGTTCTGCTCTTCTACCATGTGGGTCCCAGATCATCAGGCTTGCAGGTGAGCACATTTACCCACTGAGCCATCTTGCAGGCTGCTTTGTTCTTTTTAAAGTGACTATCAATACAAGGTCAAAACATATTTACTTGTATGTCTCTCTTATAAGATTGTGAGCCTGTGGGACAAGTGCTGTGTTTTAATCCTCTCTATATCCCTAAAATTGGTCTCAGCATGGGTATTGTTAGGCTGAACTAGTTAGCCTACATCATACCTGCTCAGTGACTTTTTAAGCCTTGCCTTCAATTTTCAGGAGCTAAAATAAGAATTCCCTTTGAGATGTGTAGCCCAGAACGGAACCTAGCCTACTGCCGACAGCTGTGATCACTCACATCCTTCTTCCCTCATCAAATGCTGCCCAGAATCACACCTGAAATCCCAGTGCCTTGTAGAACTGACAAGCCCCAGAGCAAGCTAGAACTCTGTTAAGCATCCCAAACTGAAGAAGGAACCTGGGGGCATCTGGGAGCTTGCTATGCCATCTTAGTGGCTTAGCTGCAGGTTGAGAAAGTAAAGGGCTTAAACGAACACAGATGGGGTTTTATGTTTCACTTTCAACAAAATTTATATACTATATACGCTTGTACACAAATAAAAAAATATTTATTCTTTTTCCTTCCCTCCCTCTTCCCTTCAGTAAA